AAGCCCTAAACCCTAAGCCCTAAACCCTAAACCCTAGACCTCTTAACCTCGGAACTTGAGGGCGTCTTCCCAATCATAGGCCGAGCTTCAGTGCCACCATGTCAGATGCCTTGGTGTTTCTATCGTTTCGGCGGTTTTGGGTTTAGGAGGCAATCCTGTCACTTTCAAGACCTCCGGCTTCTACCCTAAACCCCAAACCCTAAATCCTAAACCCTAAACCCTAAACCCCAAACCCTAAACCAGCCACCCGGCCCTTCACGTCGCGATGGGTAAACCCTAAACCCTAAACCCCAAACCCTAAACCCTAAACCCTAATCTACCCTAAACAGATTAAAGGATGAGAGACTTGGGCGTTGGGGCTTTTGGGGTTTGGGCGCTCTGGGGCTTCGGGGTGTAGAGAACTTTTGGGTAGCGCTTGACGGTTTAGGGTTTAGGGTTTAGGGTTTAGGGTTTAGGGTTTAGGGTTTAGGGTTTAGGAACTACCATAACCTAGTTTTTTGTAGGCTCTCATTCTGAGCCCGCATATAGAACCTAGAAGGACCCTACAGAAAAAGTAGGTCTTGGTAGTTCAAGGTGCGGCTTGGGATACCAAGGTCCACTGCAACACCCTTTTTGGAGCTCTGGGCATCAGAACTGCAGGCTTCAGGGTTTGGTGTTTTGGCCTCGAGTTTGGCTTTCGTGGGGTGTAGGGTTCGGGGTTTGGGGTTCAGGAGCCATATAGAGGCCCTGAAAATTAGAATAGGGTTTTGGGGCCCACTATACTATAATTATAATAAGGAGCCCCCAAAAATAATAGAGGTAATTCTTGTGGCCCCTATATGAAGCATTTCAGGTTTGGGTTGCGATGGCTTTAGGGTGCCACAAAACCGCAGCTGCTGTCAAGGGGCCGCCTTCGATTTGAGCCGCGATTTCCAGTGAGACCAACCTAGGTGAGATTGACCCGGACCCTAGTCTGATCTTGCAGGGCCCTTTACCGAAACCCATCGGCCCATAATCGGGACATGCTCTAAACCCTAAACCCTAAACCCTAAGCCCTAAACCCTAAGCCCTAAACCCCTTCGCGCGTGCTTGGGAAATTGACCTGAAAGGGTTCGGGCATCTCGGGCTTCGACTTATATCCCCTGCGGGTCCAGCCGACACCCTCGATGACACAAGAAGCAGGGTTTAGGGTCTAGGGTTTAGGGAGCTGGGGCCCTACTAAGTAGGGCTGTAAGTAACTATTGTTGTAACTACTTACTTGTAACTGGTAACCCCGATAGGAGTGCTTCTAACCTTACACACTGAGTGCCTTGATCCGTTAAGGGGTTCAGCCTAATTAGAGTTTCGGGCTCAGGTTTTTTCGGGGTTTAGGGTTTGGGGTTCCGGCATTTGGGGGTTTAAGGTGCAGGGCTTGGGCTTGCGCACTCAGCCACAGGAATGGGAAGAGGCTCTTGGATTTGATGAGTCGGGCTTCGGGCGAAAGACTGCCATGCATGTTAAACTTAAGTTCCGAA